GACAATGCGAACCAACACTCATGCCTAGACTCAAGGCACTGACTGCGCAGAGGACACCACTAACACGTGAGAGTAAAGGATGTCCGCACAAACTTTATAGTTCTAAAGGGTACAAATTTTGACCCTATTATCTCCTAGTATCTGTAATAAACTAAAGATATTTAAATGTAACTGATTAACAATTTTCCCCGACTATTAAAAAACAATCTGATCACACACAATACCAAGAACTGTGTGAAGGTGAAGGTATCATCAAGGACATATCAGGTCCTCCACAGCGCTGTCCTGCTCCTTTCTGCTGCTGACGTCTGTTTGGCGCTGTGGTCTGCTTTCATGTTAACTGGAGAAGGAAAGTCAGCAGTGGCCAAGAAAGTCTTTTCCGATTAGAAAAACAAGTACATCTGCCTTTTCTTGTGCAGAGAGACTGTTCTTCGTTTCTGATGAGTGCAGGTAGACCAGCAGCTAAGAACTCTGACCCAGAACTGCTCTCTAAGGACCATGCAGACCTGATGCGCACGAAGTTGTAGCAAGAAGCTGTGCTCTGCCCAATCGGCTAGCTGTTCAGGGTTTTGTTTTGCTTTCTTTCTTTTTAAAGTGTATTCTCATCCCTAAAAACATTAATATCATTTCAAGTCTGAAAACTTCTGTCATTACGCTGGCTCTGCCATGAGCATACTGTTGCTGACAAGACTCCAGTGCATGTATTTGGGAAACCATGGCTCTGACTGGAGGTAGCCAAGAAGGCTCGAGATGATATGTGTACTTCTAAAGACACTGAACAGCTATACATACCATCATTATAATGTATTTACAAAAGCAAGTTGAAAAAAACTATGGTTTTACTGCTTAAGTCAAGACTAAGCAGAATTTTTTAAAAGTATTTCTTAAATATTTTAAGCCAAAAATGTTAAGAAAATCAGGAAAATAGCAAATTTAAGAGATTGGGAAACAAGAAAAGAGTTCCTGAAATTTGACAGACTTCCTACCAATCTTCTGTTTAAAAAAAGACTTCCTGACCAACTTAGTAAAGCTGGCTTCATTGGCAGTTCCTCTCATTGGCAGTTCCTCTCATCGACAGAGGAAAAATCCAGCGAAGCCATTGCACACCCTAGCCAATCACTTCAACAAAATGGGGAGGACTGGACATTAGCATCATGGGTTCCAACATTTCCTGTCAAAATCACTCTTCACACTGGATGTTAGCCATCGTTCTTCACACTGGATCTTGTTAGCCATCACTCTTCACACTGGATGTCAGCCATCACTCTTCACACTGGATGTCAGCCATCACTCTTCACACTTGATGTCAGCCATCACTCTTCACACTGGATGTCAGCCATCACTCTTCACACTGGATGTCAGCCATCACTCTTCACACTGGATGTCAGCCATCACTCTTCACACTGGATGTTAGGCACCACTCTTCACACTGGATGTTAGGCACCACTCTTCACACTGGATGTTAGCCATCGCTCTTCACACTGGATGTTAGCCATCGCTCTTCACACTGGATGTTGTTAGCCATCGCTCTTCACACTGGATGTTAGCCATCGCTCTTCACACTGGATGTTGTTAGCCATTACTCTTCACACTGGATGTTAGCCATCGCTCTTCACACTGGATGTTGTTAGCCATCACTCTTCACACTGGATGTTAGCCATCACTCTTCACACTGGATGTCAGCCAAAGGCCCAGGAGTGGTCAAAATCCCTCACTCTCTCTTCTTCCAGTTTTTCTTTTTCTTCCATTTTAAACTTAGTCAATCTCAGACTCCTCGCCAGCCCAGAGGTACCCCTCGACCTCTCCTGTTCCTCCTTCCTCACCTGCATCTGAAAGCAGACCCCAGCTTCTCCCAATGATGCTCCCTCTATTTATTCCCTCTCTTGCCTCTGTCTAGGATTTTTCTAAGTTATTCCAAGACAGAGGAGCAGGAAAGGAAAACAAAAGTGAATTCTCAGAGGCAAGGTGGTGTCACGCACCTCTAATTCCATTATTTAGGAGGCTAAGGCAGGAAGATCAAAAGTTGCATGCCAATCAGGGCTATATGATACTGTTACTCCTAGAGGGACAGAAAAGAGAGCAAGGCCTAGTAAGCACAAGCCAGATACTTGGGAGATAAGTTCCAGGTTCACCTAGTACAGGCTGAAGATGCGGGTAGTACTGGCCTAGCATGCAAGAAATCCTAGGGTCAGTCTCTATACTAGGGCCAAAACAAAAGGAAACCTTAAGATCTCTGTTTTAAGTTCAAGGCCAGTAGTCATTAAGGAAATGCAAACAAAAACCAAACTGAGGCTTCAGAAGCATCTATGGGATTGGCTAAAATAAAAATGACAACCACCCCTAATACGGGTAAGAACACACAGGAAAAGTGGACGACTGCATGTATGTAGTGACCTAAGCACCCTAACAAAGAACACAGCAACTTGTGTGTGTGCCCACAGGTGAACTCACCTGTGCCTGAGGGTGGGAAAGTCGCCCTCTCTCTACTGCATTCATTTATTTACATGCAGTTATAGAAAAATAACAGCAAAAAATCCCTTCCATGCTTTTTTGGTTTCCCCAGTATCAAATCTTGCATAATTTTAGTCCAATATCACAACAGGATTAACATCTCATCTCCCCAACCCAAACTGCTGAACTTTTCATAAATCATTGGGACCAATGTCAATCCTACTAGTGGTTTTCATTATTATTTTTTATATAATTGCATGCAAATTCAGTTATCTCAAAATTAGTGATTTTTAAAATCTCATTCATTTCCAATGGTTTCCTTATGTCCATAAAAAAGGCTTCTTGGCATGGCAAGCAGAAATGTCCCCAGCGCACCCTTTTACACACCCCATGTTATAGACAACTAATCTAAGGGCAGACCACACCGCGCACCACTCCTAAGTCTTCTGTGTGCCATCTCACTTAATCCTACTGCACAAAGGTGCAATGGCACAAGCAGGTAGTTCAAAGTCCAACGCGCCAGGCCCTTTCCAGTTTCTCCATTGCCTCACCACCCCCATCACCCTTCAACGCTCTGCTCCAATGCACCCTTAAAACTTTTCTAGATTTAACTCCTGGACTATTGATGTCCTGACAAGCACTAGACATCCATTCAATAAATGTTTCACTAACACAAGATCTCGATCAGCAGTTCTCAATGTGTGGGTCACGAACCCTTGGGCAAACCTCTAGCTCCAAAAATATTTATGTTATGGCTCATAACTGTACCAAATTACAGTTATGAGGTAGCAACAAAAATAACTTTATAGTTGGGGGTCACCACCGCATAAGGAATTGTATGAAAGGGTGGCAGAATAGGAAGGTTGAGAGGCACTGTACCACATAATAAAGACGCACAGTTATAAAAGTGGCATCAACGAACACTAGATACTGAACGACAACAAGGCAACTTCTACCACAGTGGGGACAAAGAAGACCTTGTGAGTAAGCAGCGACTTTCAACCTCCGAAGAACCAAAGCCACTTCAGGCTGATGAGACACCAGCGTCAGCTCCAAAGCCCACAGCCACCAGCGCTCACATGGCAGAGGCGGCAGAGGCCCGAGAGGCGGCAGAGGCCCGAGAGGCGGCAGAGGCCCGACGGGAATCCATGCAGCAGAGGCCACAGGCGTCCACACGACAGAGGCCTGAGAAGTGTTCACGTGATGAAGACCTTAACAGAAACCGGACCTTTCCAAACCTAGACACCCTTCCAGACCACTGGCGTCTTCTGCCAGTCCAAAAAAGATACAATGCTTTCTTTTTAACCAGGAAAATAAAAAACAATACATCCACTAACTTAAAATGATTATCCTACAGCTATCTAGAAAATTATTCCAACTGCTCTGAAATCTGAGCAAATATCTCCAAACAATTCTTTTGTTCTGCTTCGCTGAGACAAGAGGTGCCTGAGAGTTTTCTGTCAACCTTCAAACTAAAGTGATCTGAGAAGAGGGAACCTCAATTGAGACAAAACCTCCATAAGATCCAGCTATGAGGCATTTTCTTAATTAGTGATCAGTGGGGGAGGGCCCAGCCTATCGTGGGTGGTGCCATCCCTAGGCTGGTGGTCCTGGGTTCTATAAGAAAGTGGGCTGAGCAAGCCATGTGGAGCCAGCTAGTAAGCAGCTCCCTTCAATACCCTCTCCATCAGCTCTGGCCTGAAACTTGCTATGCAGACCAAGGAGAGCCTCCTGCTTCTACCTCTGAGTGCTGGGATTAAAGGCATGAGACACCATGCCTGGCAAAATAATTCCTGTTTTAAGCACAAAAAAAAAAAAAAAAAAAAAAAGCCTGGAGAAAAAACAAACTGTAGCACATGAAAGAAGCCAAATGGGTCCTATTCCCTCTGTCCTCCCCCACCCCGACCTCTTTGTCTTTTTCTTTGTTAAGTAATGGGTACTGAACCCAGCCAGGGCTTTACACATGCCAGGCAAGCATCTATCATTTGGCTACATCATTAATCAAGGAATTTTCAACAAGTGTGAAAATGGAGGTATGAAGAGGAAAAAGAGGCGATCCCGGCATGGGGGCACATGCCTTTAATCTCAGCAGCTTGGGAGACAGAAGCCGACAGATGTCTACAGAAGTTCTACATAGGGAGTTCCAGGCTAACCAGGGTACACAGTGTGACCCTGTCTGTCTATCTGTCTGTCTGGCTCTCTCACACACACACCCCACACATACACACGCTCACACAGGAATGCACACACACACACACACACACACACACACACAATAACACTAAGAAGAAACAGACAAATGAACAGCACAAGACAACTTCTCACTCCATTGAACTGAGTCAGCTCTTTCTTGTGGTGCTGGGGATGGAACCCAGAGCCTCGTGCATGCTAAGTACATTCCAGGTCTAAGGAATCATTAATTCTTAACACTGATATAAAGTCAATACAGAAAAATAAAATTATAAAATATGTATCATATGGAAAAAAAAAAGACATGGTGTAGCCCAACAAGCAGGTAAGGAACGGAGTCTGGGGAGGGAAGAACTAACCGGTCTTGATCTCTGGAACCTGGATTCCTCACGGTCTCTGTGTGGCCCAGCTGCACTGCTTCTCTCCCTGACACTTCTGTACCCAGGGCTGGGGATGATGTACTCCTTCCCCATGTCGATATCCTTCATCTTCACCAAGTGGGTACCAGAGCTCACACTCCTCCTCTCACTGCAGAGTTTCTGAAATCAAAAGCAGACATTTCCTGGTCATGACGAAGCGTACACCAGCGTGCCTTACAGCAGGAAGAAGGGAGAAAGGAACAGATACTTCCTCACCGCCACAGTCACACACATTATTACAGACACTACTTCACTTTTGAAAGGAGAAAGGTTATTGTCAAAAAACAAAAACGACCTAGCCAGGCACAGCGGTGGGTCTCTGAGAGTTCAAGGCCAGACTGCTCTACAAAAGATTTCCAGGACGAAGAAAAAGAGAGAGAGAGAGAGAGAGAGAGAGAGAGAGAGAGAGAGAGAGAGAGAGAGGAGAGAGAGGAGGAGGAAGAAGAAAGGGGGAGGAAAAGAGAAAGAGGAGGAAGAAGAGATAAATTACCTTCTCCCAACTCCTAGGAAAAAATAAACTTAAAAAAAACATAAGCCTAAGCCAGGCGGTGGTGGTGCATGCCTTTAATCCCAGCACTCAGGAGGCAGAGGCGGGTGGATCTCTGTGAGTTCGAGGCCAGCCTGCTCTACAACTAATTCCAGGACAGACTCCAAAGCCACAGAGAAACCCTGTCTTGAAAAACCAAAAACAAACAAACAAAACAACAAAAACCCACAAACCTACTGGTAAATGAATACCTTCTTTGACTGAGAATCTAAGGAATGGAGCCATGAGATGATATGGAAAGGTATTCTGAAAGCCCTTTCAGCTTCTTGCATGTATAAACTCCAGGACCTCTCACCTACCAAATCTGACTAGATGCAACTTACAAAGATACTTACCCTACCAATCATAAATCCCAGCCCTGCATTTCTGTAACTACCTAATGGATGACCTGATGTTATTTTAAAGCTCAGGAGTTACACAGCTAAAATAAAAACAAGAGGGTAACAACTTTAAACACAAATTCCCCATTTAGCATTTAGTTCTCAAGTCAGACAGCAGTAACACTGTACAAGTCTGTGAGCACACCAAAACCACCACCAACACTTGTATACTTGTAAAGGTGAATTCTACAATGCACAAACTATATCTCAATAAAGCTGTCATTAAAAAAACAGTAACAACCCAGCAGTGGAAGCAAGCACCTTTAATCCCAGCACTCAGAGAGGCAGAAGCAGATAGATCTCTGGGAGTTCTAGAGTTCTAGGTCAGCCTGATCTACAGAGTGAGTTCCAGGGCTGCTAAGGCTACATAGAGAGTCCCTGTTTTGAAAAACTATAAAAAAAAAAAAAAAAAAGTAACTTGAAGTCTGTAAGTACAAATTCTAATTAGTCTTAATAATAAAAACCTGGAGTAAGATTTCAGGGTAAATGATGAAACACCAAAGAAGTAAAGCCACTAGAGAGACTTTTACCTCTACCAAATCCTCAGACCAAAGAGGGCAAGATCCTCGAACCCCTAAGTGAATGTCTCAAAGTCTCCTCCCACCTTGTATTCCTCTCTCCACCGCATTATCCCTTCCTGTCTCCACCTCCCTAGTGCTGGGATTAAAGGTGTGAGCCACCACCACCAGGTTCTGTTTCTCTTTGAGACTGAAGCAATCTAGTATAGCTGAGGCTGGCCTTGAACTCATAGAGATCATCAGCCTCTGCCTCCAGAATGCTGGATTAAAGGCGTGTGCCACCACCGCCTGGCCTCTGTGGGTAACTAATGGCTTAGCTATGATCTTCAGGCAAGCTTTATTTGTTAGATCACAAACAAAATATCACCACAAATAACAAATTAAATTTAAATGGGCATGGTGGTGCACACTTTTAATCCCAGCACTCAGGAGGCAGAGTCAGATAGATCTCTGAGTTCCAGATTGCCGGATCTACAGGGCAAGTTCCAGGACAGCCAGGACTACATGGTAAAATCCTGTCTCCAAAAACAAAAACAATATGTGTGTTTATGAATATGTATGTATAATGGATTAATTAAAAATGCTGTGGATCCCCAAGTAGCTGCAGTGGCAGAAATGCTGCAGGTCCCTGGGCAGCAGCAGGTAGAGGGCCATGTGGTGGCAGGCAGGGGGGCAGCGGGTCCTGAGAGCAGCCAGTCCCAGGAAGGGACTGTGCATGAGACCACATCCCAGGTCTCCGAAGGCTGCTGGTCCTGTGGCAGCAGCAGGCAAGAGACGGACGGATAAGCACGCCATGCAGAGTGAGGTTGGATATTTATTTAGTGGGTTATGGAAGTATGGAAGAGAAGGGGAAGAAGGAAAAGAGGGGAGAAGGGAGAGGAGAAGGGAGAGACAGAAGCTGCCCGTGAGTGGGGGGAGAGACTCAGGCTGCAAGCAGGAAGAAAGATCTGCCTGCCTCAGCGGAAGGGGGAGTGGGCGTGGCTTGTCTCTTAAAGAGACAGAACAGATCATTACAGTATGTAGATTACCTTTTTTTTCCTTTTTCTTTTTTAAATGGTTTTGGTTTTTCGAGACAGGGTTTCTGTCTTTAAGACAGGGTGGCTCATGCTGTCCCGCAACTCTCTCTGCAGACCAGGCTGGCCTCGAACTCACAGACTCACCAACTGCCTCCCAGCACAGTTTACATTTTACCTTTTCAAGGTCGCTTCGCTTCTTGCTGAAACCCAGCTCTATAGCTTTGCACCACTGCCTGTCTGGCCAATTCGAGTCAATATTCTGTATCAACTCTGGTCACTTTAAAAAAAAAAAAAGTCTGACACATATTTTATTTACTGTGTGTGTGCATGCGAGAGGGAACTGAACCAAGTGTGTGCAACCAGCACACTGAGATCAAAGGATGGCTTGCAAGAGTCAGTTCTCTCCTGCCATTCTGGTTCTGGAGATGGAGCTCAAGTCCTCAGGTTGGCAACAGGCCAGCTCCCTGGCCCTCTGGCCACTTCTTAAAAACTAAACACATACATGTCCCTCTGTAAGTATGGCCGTGCCACACTGTAGTCCATAAACCCAGCTGTGACGGCCGCTAAGGGGTGTGCCTCTTGGAACACAAAATTTTGACAACTGTAATTTGTTTCTGACACAGAGACTCAAGTAGCCCAGGCTGGCCTCAAATGTTAATTTCTGAAGGATGACCTTGCTCTTCTGGCCTTCCTGCCTCCACATCCCAAGGACTGTGACTGTAAAATTGCATGACTGTCCCCCAGTTTATATGGTGCTGGGGATCAAACCCAGGGCCCTGCACATGTCAGGCAAGCCCTCTGACAACAAAGCTACATCCCAAGCCCCTGTTACTCACTTTTAAATTATCAAAAGAAAATATTTATTGTTCTTGAGATTTAAAAAAAAATTAAACCCCCTTAAATCTCCAAAGAGGGCTGGACTTTTTACTTTTCAGAATTTTGATACAGAAAAGGTGTTTGTTTAAAAATAGCATCTCCAATGAGTGGTGATGATCACGCCTTTAATCCCAGCACTTGGAGGCAGAGGCAGGAGGATCTCAGTGAGTTCAGCCCTGCCTGATCTACAGAGTGAGTTCTACACAGAGAAACCCTGTTTGGGGGTGGAAGGAGACAGCACCTAGTCCAATGACTACACACACTATAAACAAAACCAGCCTACTAAGCAAAAACAGTGCCTATGTCACAGAGGTCCCAGGAAGGCTAAGCTATAAACAGGCCTGGCGTCTGCCAAGGGCCCCGCTGTCATCTGGAAGAGGAAGATTAGTGATACTTTAAAAATAGGCTCAAGGGAGTTAGTGGAGCTTAAGAAGGAGGCGGCCAAGGGAGCCCATTCACGATACCGAACACACCATGAACAGAAAAAGGGTCTCCAGTATCTAAGACCAGGGAGGAGGCAGAACCTGTAGAGTGTAGACACTGTGGTAGCAATGACCCTTTTATGAGAGAAACACCTGTTGGTTGGGAGATAAGACAGGACCGTACTGACCTACCCTGAACTCCCTATCCTTCCACACAAAGCTGATTTCTTTTCAAAAGAAAAAAGAAAAGCAAAGCACAGCTCCGCATATGCAAACACCTGAGTAGCCATAAAATTACTGCTTCTCCACAGTAAACACAAGGAGGACGCCTCTTCTGTGTCTGGGGTGTGACAAGGACAGGCACAGGAGACGGTGGGGCAGCAGGAAGGTGACTGACGGGTTTGGGAAAGAAACAAGGCCTGAATATGAAGCTAGCAACTAAGGAAGGATTGCTACACCGGTTCCCTCTCCAGCCCCAAACACTTCTCACTTCCTTATTTTCTGAACTTTTCCCTTGCAGTTGACCGGAAGTCTTTTTTAAAAAATTAATGTTAACTTGGGCTCAGTGATAAAGCATGTAAGTCAGAGGTTCTGTTCAGTCTCCAGGGATGCCAAAACCAAAGCTAAGGCCCCAAGTATCAGCAAACTAGCAAAACCGGTATGTTTCGGTCTAAGTCGGTACTGTAAAGAGATAAACAAGAATAAACGAAGTGGGGACCCGCACATTAGTGCCCCGACTCAAAACTGACAAGGTTGGGGTCACCTGATCTGCCTTTTGCTTAAAAATTCTCTTTCCACTGATTAAAGGGTATCCATTGGCCCTGCATAAGGATGCCACGGGTTCTGCAGGGGGGGGAGGGGCGTTGCGTAGGACTAGAGAACTGGGAACTAGACAGGCTGGTGTTTCCAAGCGATGTTATCACAACATCCATCAGTAGGCTTCCAGCGCCTCAGGAAGCTCCTTCAGGCCCTGTAGCTACAGCAAGGAAGCTGAAGGATGCCCACTTACCACGCCCCCAGAACCCACCTGTACCTCCAAGCTCCCTCACCTTTGACTTACTCCAGAACCCAGTAAAACCTATCCATGTTTCCCTTCAGAACTCAAACTTCCCCGATCATCCCTGTGCCTATCTGCACTGAGACTTCCCCATCTGTGCGAAAACACACGACCCAGGTGTGATAAACACAAACTCACTAGCAGCTCTGCGTGCCAACAGCAAAAAGGGCACCGATAACTGGAGACCTGGGCTCCCATCCCGGCTCTGCCACGGATTCGCTGTGCTTGCTGATGTCACGTGCATTCACATAGAAGCTCACAAAAAAANAAAAAAAAAAAAAAAAAAAAAAAAAAAAAAAAAAAAAAAAAAAAAACCGAAGACAATGACTTACATCGTAGGTGGCTGGCACTGGGGCCTCAGGTTCCGGGGTGTTGGGGCTTCTCTCTGGCCAACTCCGCCACCCCGGCCCTAGGGCGTTCCCACGCCAGCCGGGGCCTGGCGAGTGCAGGTGCCAAGACTCACCCAGAGCGGACGCAGCTCCCCCTGGTGGCCGCGCTGAGAGCAGAGCCGGCCGTGACCGCCCACCAAACCTCCCCTCCTGCCTTCTAACACCGGGACCCCGGCACAGTCCGCCAAGTCGTCACCCAAGCCCGGGACCGCGCGACACCGGGACGAGGCAGGCCCCGCATCTCCCGCCGGTGTCTTCCCACCACCCACCACGCCCCGGGAAGCCCAAGGGAGAGAGCCCGTGACAGCGCGGACACTGCACAGGAAAGGCGAGAGCCATCACCTACCTGCACACCAACCTCCCCAAGGGAGAGCGGACCGCCCGGGCTCGCACGCGAACATCGGACCCGGAGCAAAACAAGCCTTTATAGCGGCATCGTCCTCCACACTGCGCAAGCGCGCTGCACAAAGCTTGCGCAAGACCGAAGGGAATCGTAGTCCCTTATCCGGCAGCCCCGAGCGCCGCACACCGCAAAGGACTACGTTTCCCAGAAGCACCACTGGTGCCCGGGATGGGATGCAGGCTGCTCACCGTCCCCGCGCGCGTCCCGTGCTGCCCCCATCCCACCTGGCCTCTGACCCGGTCTGGAATCTTCTCTGAAGTCCTGAGTACCTGGGGCTGGACGGGCAGGTCCGGATGGCCGGTGGCGCTGTATTCCCAGGCAACTGGAGATTCAAAGTAAGACACTTCCAAATACATGTGGCCACTCCACGTGCCAGAAAACATCGTGAAGGTCATTGTAGCCAGCTTCTGTCCAACCCCAACTATTAGCTGTGGTGTCCCTTATCATTTCACGTTAGCTGGTGCATGAGTCCCCCGCATTCTACATGGATAGTATCATTAGCTCTCTTCTCTCACCCGTCCATTACACCTGCCGGGCTTCAAAGTAATAAAACGCCAGGAACACAGTTTTCAAAGTGACAAGGGATGTAAAAATGATGTGCTAACTAATGGATTTGTTTTTGTAAATGAAATTGAGGCCCCGGAGGCGTTCGTCATTTTATTTATTTATTTACTTACTTACTTTTTATCTATTTCGGTATTATAAGGACTGCTTGCTGTTGTTGAGTGCCTCCCCACCTTAAAGTGTCAGGGGCTTGTTTCTGGTTATCTATTTAAGGGACTTAAAAAGAAGGCTAATGAGACTGTCCATCTTCATACAACTACTTAGCTAGGGTGAACACTGACGTCGTAAAGCTGGAGTGATCGACAGAGTGTATACCTGACACACAGAAAGAGTAACAGACCAGTTCTTTAGAATTAATAGGCTGGGAACTAGGAGACGGTTCCGTAGTAAGAGTGCTTGCAGATGAAGCATGAGGATGTCCGTTCAAATCCTCTGCACCCAGAAAAAAGCCAAGCATGGCTGGGCATTCACTGTGATCCCAGGACTGTGTGGAACAAAGACAGGATTGCTTGGGCTTGCTGGCTACCAGGCCAGCAACACATTCAGTGAGAACCTGGTTTAAAAGAATAAGAGGACCCCCAAAGCTGTCCTCTAACCTTCCGGGCGTGAATGGGCACTCACGTTTGCACCACACACGTGAACATACACAGATATACACAAATAAAATTACAACCTAGAAAGAGCATGGTATAGTGGCATACCTCTGTCATCCCAGAACTAAGGAAGTGAATACTGGGGCAACTGATGATCCATAGTAAAGAAAATCTCTGTTCAGTAGCAGGTTTAGGCAGATCAAATAGCTGAATGTGCAGAAAACTTTTGGAGAAAATGTGAAATGCCTTTATAAACTCGAGATCAGGAGAGAACTTCTTAAGATAAACAAAAGGGGGAGATAGAGATGGGCATTGTGTTGTGTGGATACTGAGTATCCCTCTCCCCCACAAAGTCTCATGATGCTAGGCAGTGTTCAGAGGTAGGGCTTTGAGGAAGTTGGATCGTGAGGACTCTGACCTAATGAATGGTTTAATCTTGACTGATTCACAATTCCATGGCATTGTTGGGAGCTAGTGAAATATTAGGACTTTGAGCCTTGTTAGAGGAAGCCGGTCACTGGCGGCATGCCTTTGAGGGATGTATGCTCTCGTTGGCCCCTTCATGTCTTGAATGATCTCTGCCAAGATGGTTAGCCTTGTGCCAAGCCCCGGGTAATGAACCCAGCCCACTACGGACCGAAACCTGAGCCAACATAAATACTTCCTCCTTCAGTTTGACCGTTTCTCAGGTATTTGTCACGATAACAAAGGACTGGACATTTCTCACTATTTTAAAATTAGAATATATACAAGATATCATTAAGTGAAAAGATAAGGCACAATTATAACTGATTTTTGTTTGTTCTGTTGAGGCAGACTCTCAGGGATCTGAGGCTGAACTTGCTATGTAGGCAAGGGTAACCGGGGCCTTTTGGTGTCTCTACCTCCCTGCTGGAATTACAGATGATGGACACAACGCGTGGTTTATGACTGTACCATCATGACTCATTTTACACAGAGCTGGGAACTGAGCCCGGGGCTTGGTGCAGAATAGGCAAGCACTCTGCCATCTGACCGACATCCTTGTGAGTGACGATTTTAATGCAAAGAATTTCTATCACCAAATAAGAAAAGGAAAATAATGTAACGCGTTCACAGCAAAGACAGTAGTCACTCAGATTTGAAAAGACATCCAGGCTCACTCATCAGACCAAGGTTAAAATAGCAGTGAGAGCTCATATCACTCTGTAGAACACAAAAGCTGCAGATCCAATACCTTCATAAAAAATGCAAGGCTCCTAAAATTTCTCTGAAATACTTCAAATATTGGTTATTCTTTCTCTTAGGAATGGTGTGCCCTCAAGATGTACCACACAGATGCTAAGGGAGAAGAGCCAGGGGAGGAGGGTTCTGCTGCAGAAGAGGGAACCTTCCCAGACCGTACAGAGTATTTTTCCTTTTGCATCATAGAAAAGGCAACAAAGGCTACTACAATCTACACAGAAGTAGACTCTGCCCACACAGGTGCCCCATAATTATCTGTGTGTGCACCAGTGTGAAAAGGCAACGGTGGCACAGATGTGCATGTAGCAAGTACACCTTAAATTTGAAAACTCAAGTCCCATATGTCCCTACCTCGTTACTTCCCTTAGCAATTACTTGTGACAGCCTGCACCTTATTAATACTGTGAAGAGAAGAAATCTGGCTTGGTTGCCAGATTTGTCACTGATATCACCAAAATAGTTCAGGGACATTCCATGCAGGTGGGGAGGTTTGTGGTGAGGCTGGAAATGTTGCAGGACACTGGAGCAGAGGAGGCAGGGCTCGGTCTGCAGACATTTGGGAAGGTTCGCCCTGGAGCAGACTAAGAATTGAAGGCAAATCCCTGACTCAGCTCACAGCATCAACATCTACCGTTTTATATTCAACTCAACCCCACCCCACCCCCCATCCTCAGCCCCGCTCCCTTGTCCTTGACCCAGGTATGTAGAGCTGCTGTGCTTCTTCCACCACATCCTTCCCTATTCTCTCTCTCTCTCTCTCTCTCTCTCTCTCTCTCTCTCTCTCTCTCTCTCTGGCATTCCTTTTGTAGGTCCCTGCTCTGTACAGGGGTGCCAGTTCCACCCTTGGTTTCCGACTGAGGCCAACATGGAGTGGATACTGGTATGCTTGACAGAACAGTCATGCAGAGTTTGACGTGAACACCTTCCACACACGTGGCAGCTACACCAACCCCATTCACACCAACGTCTCCCTCACTCTGTCTGTACCCTGGACATGTTGGGTCCTAAACCAGCATTGCATTGGTGAGGCACACCGCTCAGTTAGGAAAGGCAGGTCAAAACCACAATACCCATCAAGACGGCTACTATTTCAACACACAAAAGCCAGGTGTGGCACTGCACACCTGCAGCCCCAGCAGAAGCAGGAAGATTGTGTGCTTGACAGCAACCTGGACTGTGAAACCTGCTTCAAATAGAGAAAAGAAAGGCCCACGGATAAAAGGATTTGGTGAGTATGCAGAGAAGTTGGGACTCACGCGTGCTCTTGGTAGAAATGCAAGGGCCACAGACAATAGTATAAGAGAACTTGACAGTTCCTCAGAAACTGTATGTGATGACTTCGACCAGCAACCCCAGCATTCGGGAAATAGAGGCAAGAAGGTTGCTGCAAATTGAAAGCCAACCTGATCTACATATAAGACAATGTCGCAAATAATAATAATAATTATAATATTGCCATCTATCTCCGTAATATTATTTCTAATTATATGCTCAGGAGAACTAGAGAGATGACTCAGTAGTTAAGAGCACTGATTCTTCTTCCAGAGAACCTGGGTTCAATTCCTATCACCCACATGGAGTCTCACAATCATCTATAAGTCCAGGCTCAGGGGATCAGACATCCTCCTCTGACCTCTGATACAGCATAATGTGGTGCTCAGCCCCACAAGCAGGCCATACCTACCACGCTCTCAAAATGCCCCTGCACATAAAATAAATGAATTAATAATTAGGCACACCTTTAATCTCAGCACTCAGGAGGATGAATAAAGTTGTTTTTTAGAAGTACTTAGATCTCGAAAAAAATCATTGTGGGAAACGGGGATAGTTCTCTGTTATCTCTAAAAAGCTTTCGGAAGCAGCTTTCCAGCCATTGCATGACTTTGGTCACGAGACTCTCCTGGCACACCTGGATATCTTGGATGATTAGGCACTATAAATAGTGCACAGTAAAGACTAAATGTACAGAAAATACACGTGCAGAAAATAGATTTTCCTTCAGAAAATACATAGATTAGATCAGGGGCTTTGGTATGAGGAACTTGTCTTACCCCCAAAACAACTGTTGTATAACAATCAATAGATAAACCTTTGCATAGCTGTTCAAGGTTCAATTCACAGAAACTGTTGCCAGAGCGAAAATAAACCTGGATTGAACCTCTTTCCTTCGATCAACCCACACAACACAGAACAAACAGACGGCTTTGGACCTACCTTCTTGGACTTAATAATCCTGAATGAAGTATCATTTTATGATAAATGTGTGATGCCCGTGTCATGAACACCCCTCTGCCCCAGGAGACCACCAGGAGTACGAGTTCATATGCAAAAGCATAAAGCCTTTGTTACAAGCTCCAGCTTGGGCTCTACAAGCATCCCAAAACAGCAGTTGGATCTGGGAGAGCATTGAGCTCAGCTATGGCAGGGTTTATAAGGAGTAAAGGATGGGGGAGTAGGGGAATTCCAGATTCAGATGGAGGTTAGTTTAGCCTTCGATGTCAGAGATCTGAGAAGGAGTAACCAAAACCACAGAGGCTAGTTCATAGTCTTTACCTAGACAGATATCCCAGGCTCCTATGGACTCTGTGGTGATGAGGGCAGAGGTATCAGGACAGCAGTCATGGCTGCCAGGCCCAGAGGATGAGAGGATTTCCTGTGGAGGAGGAATATGGGGAGACGGGCCTTGCCTTGTCTAGGGAAAGTGGGGCGTCAACTCT